ACTGATGCGTCCATCACCGACATGCCAGGTATAAAGAAAAGCAAACCTCAGGTTATCTTTAGAGAATCAAAATAACGCAAAACCCTCGCTAACACTGGTATACTTAATACTGAATTATTCCTCGAGCCCGCATGGGCTCTGAGTCAATAGACAATGAGGCCGAAGGCCTAATGGGCTATTGAACTCAGAGGCCATGAGGGCGAGAGGAATAATTGTTAGTAAAATCCAACTAGTTGGTCAAAAATATCGACACAAAACAACTTTAGCTAGCAAAACGCAATTCAGCCGCCATTGTTTTGGTTTCCAAAGCCGTCGCTTTTCGCTACTAGTGGGCTATAACATATAGCCTAGTAATAGCTCAACGAATCAGAACGCAGCATTGATAATAGACCACTACTTGGATTTTAGAATATCCCCATCAGCTCCCTTAAAAACGTTTCCTAGTTTCAGTTTAAATAATTCCTTAATAGATTTGAAAGTAAAAGAAATTGAATTTACAATGTCAACTCCTTAATAATGTTAGATTTTCATCTGATTTTCATTCGTCTTAAAAAGGGGTTCTAGGGGCGTAGGCAGGATTTTTCCAGAGGTACGCACAATTTTCCAAATCCCCCTGCCCCACTCCCCCACACCCCGCTTTAAGCCCCATTTTTTTTACGGTTGCAAGGTTATGTTTTAAGCCCAAGCATTTTTACTGTCTATGAAATGATGAAGGTGAGTTTAACTTAAATTCTTTGCTCTTTTCATTTAATTTACTAAAGCAAGCCAATCGCTTATCATGAATAGAATTAGCCCAAAATTCCAGTGTATCTTAGACTTTTACTTAAAAATAAGTCTTTTTTCTACACCTGTTTGGCACATTGTTGCTAACCAACAAAAGCACCCAGATAGACGTAATCTTTCCATACTTTGTCGGGGGAAAACAGCCGCGTTCACGCTTTATACCATGCAGCTTACTACCTGCGAGCTATTTTCCCGCCTTTTTTCTAAATATCAGTCAAGATTCGGTCCATCGATATGTCACTTCACTTCTCTGGAAACCGGCATTCAGGTGTGGAAAAACAAAACGAAAGAAAAAAAGAGTCCCTTGTGTTGGAAAAATATGCCACAACCAAGACAGCTGACTTGTTTATGGAGAAAAATGGTTCCCTAAGTATTGGCAGCGTTAGAAAAGAATGCCTTTTGTGTTGGTAGGTGTGATTTTTTCGCTTTCGTTCACATAGGTGATGGCTGTAATCAGCTTCGTTGGAAATCGTGTTGTTGTAGTTAAAGGGAGCATAGCCAAACATCGCGGCTTCGCCTTATAGCCGGGTATTTTGGCTTAATTTTCAGTTTGTTAACCTAGAAAATTGTGCTGAAAAGTTTGGGGCGCGTTTTATAACCGAAAAAATACGGTATATATATTTCAGACAAACAAGCGGAGTTAATTAAATTGAGGCAAACGGTGCTTTTAAAAATATTTATCTTCTATTTCCTTTTTTTTATCGTTCCCTTTCATGTTTGATTTAATTAATTTATTTTTTACCCTCGATCCAGTTTTCAGGTACGCACGTACGTACAGGTACCTATGCCCCTGGGTTCCAATGTGCAGATCCGACTTCTATATCTAGTTTAGGACCTTACATATTTCGCGATTACTTGACTCATTGAGAATAGTAATATTAAGCAGTTCAGTATCCTTTATCAGGGACCAACAATCTGGAATTCGTTGCCTACTTCACTAACCAGCTCCTCTTCCATATTTGTTTATATATTTTTTTTAACTGGTAAAAGTATCTCATTGATAGTTTAGTCGTTCGGTCGCTTAAGTTTAACGTGTTGTCTGCGTATACAGTCTGTACTCAAGCAGGTTATGAGAAATCTAGCTTAAGGAAGCCTGTTTATAAAAGCTGCCAGGTTCGTTAGGCTTCCTTGTCATACTAATTTACAATTTGAATAACAATTTTGGTTCAATGCGTTTAATGTTATGTTGTGTGCATGACCAAAGAAAAAAAAAAGAAATAAAATAACGGCTTTTCTTACTCTCTTTCCTATTGCTCATTCCTAGGTCAAAGAAGCCAAAAGAGGTCAGTTCAGCAAAGTACATATTTTCCATGCAAGCCAACCAGCTTTCAACGTGTTTTGGCGTCTTGCAAGAGGACTGGTAAAGATATAAAGCCTTCCAATTGCCAAATGACTTCTCATTGCGTTTACACAATAACGTGTTACCACTGTCCTTCGTATGTATGCAGCGGCTTTGTTCACCAGTTACTCAGAGTTTGCTGTAATTACGTATGCTCCGATTGAATAAACGCAGCTGAGAAGAAAGTGAAATATCATTTCTTTTCGTATCAAGTGAAATTTATATGAAGCGGGAGTTTTGAAATAACAACAAGAAAGAAGAAAAACAACAACAATAAAAAAGAAAACCACACACACACACAAGAAGTGTGTGACCAGCTCTCCTAGAAGTGATATTTTCTCTTTTCTTTTTCTGTTGTAGCATATTTTTCAGGCTCGTCGGACACACTACAATATAACCGGTGTTTTGGCTTTATTCCGGTCGTATGGCCGCAAAGGTTTGGCAGTCAAGCTTTCAAGATTCATCTCAGACTTTCCGCAACATTATTCGATTATTTAGCAATTAATGAATGAGGCTGAGTAGGATATGAAGAATTAAGCAGATCGAGGGGCGTGTTATCCAATGAGGCCGAAGGCCAAGGTAGATAACACCCTCCTTGATCTGCTTAATTCTTCATATCCTACGAAAGCCGAATTCATTAATTGCTTTAATATTCATTCAAAATAATTCCTAGTTTAAAGACATAGCTAAAACATGCTTACCTGCATCGATGTTATGTATCGGTCAAATCGAAGCTTCAACATGCCCCCCCCCCCGGGCATACCCCGGGCATTTGACACCTTTGCCGTCCCGGGGAGGAGGGAATTTGATTATCAGAGTCTTCCAGGGGGTGGGGAATTTGATCCCCATGCTTTAGGGGTGGGGAATTTGAACTGCACCTTCGATTTCATGTAAAATCTTTGGCGTGGCGAGCTATCATGGGGGACGCGGTGTTAGAGGATTTTCGTGGAAAAGATTGTGCCTTTGTGGCCAATTGGTTGCGAGGAAAGGGCTTAAACAAGCTTTGTGCCGTATTTGAAGTATTTAAATTTTAAAATTTTTAATATTGGATTCAGGCTTTGAATGTATGAATGTATTTTATTGTTGTGTTTACAATGAAAGACAATACCTATATCGGCGATTCAATACAACAACATAACATAAAATAAGATAAAAAACTCGGGTCAACTTCTTTGACCTATTCAAAGCATGTTAATTAATAAGGTGAACGATGGTGCATGTCAGTGAAATGGTCATGATGTAGTAATCTCAATAGGTGGGATCTTTTTTGTAGAACGCTTTGTATGTTGAATGACGAAGAAAAGCTGAGCATTCAGTGACCTTGTAGCAGCGATTTCCGCGGCTTTGCACGAGACTTTTGTTCGTAGTAAATACGCTAACAGTGTTTCTCAGTTTTTGTTATATTTATAAATATTTTGTTCGACAACTGCCGTCGTCCTTCTGTCATTTTTGTGCCTGTGAAATGTCCCAGGGGTGGAGGCATTTGATCACCTGAATGGACCCTAGCGTGGGGCATTTGAACGACATTTTGGCCCGGGTAGGGGGGAATTTGAACAATAATTTTCAAAAAAGTCAAATGCCCGGGGGGGTTGCCCGGGGGGGGGGGGCATGTTGAAGCTTCGATTTGACCGATACATAAATAGACAAAGGGGCATAATAATAACGTGAGTATGACGTCAAAATAATATTTTGATGTATTCTCACTAGTGGTTATTCGTGGTCACTCGTGTTTACTCGTGATCATTCGTGGTCAGTCGTGTTCACTCGTGTTCACTCGTATGTGCTTTCAGACACAATAGTCTAAAATAACCCCTGCTGCGCCCAGACTCCTCTCTTAACCGAACATACATGTCATTTCCAAAGCAAAAATAAAGCATATTAAATATAGCCACCACTGCTACACGAAACAAAAGAATCAGTCAGTCGGTTAAAACTTTCCTTCTTGGTTATCAAACTATACTTTAAAATCAAAGAAGCAACGACGATAATGCAGACACTTTTAAATGCTTGTTTATTTTTCACCCAAATATACCTAGCTATCATAACAATTATAACACTTTAACACTATAGTGAATGACCTGCTATGTGTTTTGTTAATTGATCCTTTTCCTGAGGAGGAAAACATGTTTAAAAAAACGACAACAACAAAAACACAAAACACAGAAAAACATGATAAAGTTATTGCTACATCCTATTTCATATTATTTCTTGGTTTCTTTTATAATACGTCTCCGTTCCATCCGGGAACTTCTTCCTACAAGAAAAAATGTAAAGGTAGAACGAGTGGGCGCGAAACATATAATCACATTACTATTATTATCACATTATTATAATTACTATCACATTACTACTAGTATTATTATTTATGCGTTGCGTTGACCTCTGCTTTCAAACAGTTTTCCCACATTACATGGTTCGCTACTTCAGAGCGTAAGAAAAAAAAAAAAAATGACATCGTCTTTTTCTCCCTAACCTTTCAAATAAGAATGTCTAATTATCTTTGAGGAGTACGATTAGGGGACTTGAGCTGAGATTTTGTTATTTCTCGTGGGTATATTTCTCTTAAAAAACCGCGTTGTTGGAAATATGAGATAAGGTTACACAGGACACTTTTACCGTGGTAAATGATTCTTTTACTGCGGTAAATTGGCTTGGTGTGTGTGACGGTACTTTCCCGAGATAAATTTATTATGGGAAATATCCATGGTTACGTCAAAAAGAAGGAATAACCTGTCCATGACATTTAACGTGCTAAATAACTAGGGTTTTTCGATAACCAAGGCAAGAGAGCCAATCAGGTTTCTTCATTTGACAACAACATGAAACCGCCAAAAAATTGTCTTTGCCTTAACGTTGAATTAACGAACACAACCTTACCTCATTCCATTTTGTAGACAAACACGTTTCCGTATTTGTGTTGGCCATGCGCATTACCTGTTCCAGCATTGCTAAATAAGCATAGCTGCTTAGATTTGCCGTATTTGTCATAACGGTAATCCTTCATGTTGTCCGACCAGCAGTTCTTGTCGTCTACTCCAAATATCTTGTAGCCAGAGGATTCAGCTTTCGTCTTGCAGTAGTTAAAAATGGCATCTGCGCCAGACACACTGCTGACGTTGTCATCAAATGAATCCGGTAAGGCGTAGGTGGGAGATTTGTTGCTATAGCAACCAAGTTGCTCCAAATCACCTAAAAAAGAGTTCATGAATTCATCCTTAGTTCTTTCAACGAGCCGACGGCATCGTCTTACTGCTCTTCCCCAAGGGTAAAAAATGGGAATCTGACACGTCTTATTTAGGAAAAGGTTTTAAAGTTTAACTTGAATTAAGACGGAATCCGCCAGGAAATTGAGTAATCTTAATTTTCAGTTGACAAAAACCTTGTACCAGAATAATTTAATGCATATTGCATTCTTTTTTACATTTTTCAAGGGCTAAATATGTGATTAGTGATCTATAGTAACACCAAAGAAAATTTCTTATGGTAGCCCGAGAAAATTAATGTGAAATTTCACAAAATTACATCTTACATGATAATTTTTCAGAATTTTACCTGTGTTTTACTATTCTTGTGAAATTTGAAATTTCGTTTTCTCGGACTCCATGAGAAGTTTTCTTTGGTGTTATTACAGATGACTAGTTACATCTTTAGCTCTTGAAAAATGTAAAAAAGAATGTCATATTCTTTAAATTATTCTGGTACAAGGTTTTTGTCCACTGAAAATTAAAATTACTCAATCTCCTAGTGGATTCCGTCTTAATGCTCATTATGGCACATATTTTGCGAAGAAATCTAAAAACATCATAAAACATGAAGAAGGATATTCATAAAACAAATCGGGAAGGTTCAGTAGATAGATCAGTTTGTACATGGTTCGCGTTTTTCCATTTTTTGGGGGGGCGGGGGTGGTTGGGATTTAGGGTGGGGCGGCACTTGAGTTGCCGTTACGGTTGAGGAAGAGAGACGATTGTGGAAACGTTAAGGCAGGAGTGAATATATTGATTGTCCAATTGGTGAAAGAACTGGGCCATAGTAGAGAGGTTGCCTTTAGTAGAGGGTTGGGTTGTTTTTCCGTCGGACTACAATTGGTATTTTGTATTTTATATCTTACCATCTCTAACTATCTAGACTTAACAAGAGGAACTGCTGGGAGAGGGCTTTAGTAAAACTACGAATAGGCAATCACAAACTACTGTTAGAAATAGGTAGATACAACCAAAATACTAGAGATAATAGGCATTTCCCTCTTTGTGGATCCAATCTAATAGAAGAGGACGTTCACTTTCTTTTTCGTTGCATTACATACCCTATGATTAGGAATGATTTTTACAACAAAATCAAGACTCTGATTCCAAATATTACCCAGCTAACTGTAAATGATTTGATCAATGAACTGATGGACTCTTATGATGTAATTTTAGTTCTTTTTCTTTATATAACTTTTGCAATATTGTATGTACTTGTATGATCATGCAAATAAAGCTCGTTGCTGTTATTTTATTTTCGTTGACATTGATATAAACTTAAATATTTTCCCCCTTACTACAATTGTTGTTGGGGTAAATGAAGCGAATTGTTTAACTTTTATAAATATTCGTGTTGACGTTACAGATAAGGGTTGGTATAAGAGCAGAACAACTATTTTAAAAAAATTTCAATAAACCAGACTACTATGACAGTTCACAGTGACTCCTTGGAGACATTTGTCACTGAAATTTAAGTTTGAACGTATTTTTCGGCAATGATTGATTTACACCAACTCCTTTCTAGTATTTACCTTTCTTACTCATTAGGTAGACGTAAATTGATTCTGATGCAAAGCTGCCGATTGCTACCTCGTGGTTATTGCTATAACTGCATTGAGCGGATGTCCCATATTTGTAAAAGGAATTAAAAGCATTTTGCCCAGTCCAGCATTTTTTGTCATCTAAACCGAACAAGGCAACAGCTTTTGAAGCAGCTTTCTTCTTGCATGCGTCCAATTTCGAAATCATTGTAGCATTGCCTGCAACTCCTAATAGAATGTCACCAAGAGCTCTTCCTCTGTTTTGGTAACATCCCACGGGCTTCCAAGGTTCTGTCATTAATAAAAATAAATATGTATAGTGGGTTACTGTGATGCAGGTAGGATCTTTCTCTCCACTGTGTTTGAAGCTGTGTTTTTTTAAATGGGTTGGTAAGGCCACGTAAAATTTAGACATGTTTAAACATTCGGTGTAATCTACCTCAAAAGATAAAATCAGTTAACCCCTTCTTGCCGAGAGCTTCCTGTAAATCAAACGCAAGCTCTATGTGTGCGAGTCTCTATGTATCTACAAGGTGCTTATTCCTCGGGAAGCTGTTGTACATGTATATGAATTTGTCGCGCGTAGTCTCGTAGCGGCCTGCAAACTCTTTCTTATGTATTTACAATGTAAAAAGCAGAACAGGGATTAACAAAACCAGAAGCATGTAACTTTGAAGCGTCTAAGTCCCCCCTTATTTGTTTAGAACTAAGCTGGGGTTTTTTAGCCGTCCAATTAGAAGCGCCGTCTAAGAAATTAGCTAATAATAAATTCTTCAATTGCTTAGTAAGTAAACCACAACTCACCAGTACAAGTTGAGCCACTTAAATTTGTTACCTAACATGCTAAACGGACAAAAACATTTACATTTAACAGATAGTGGAGCCGACGAGTGTGTTGTCAGTTGCGCGTGCTAAGCTGCACTGTGGCGTTGACGACTCTTTTGAGCACGTGTTAGCTTTCGTCACAAGCATAGGTTTCGCGTGGCCTGTCAGTTGCATAGTTGGTTTGTTTACACGAACGACTGTACAAATGCTTATAGCCATGCGAGAAAGAAATCTCCACTCGCATGATAGTTCAGTATTACATTAGCAAAGACAAAATCTGAATTACAAGCAACCAAAAGGGTAATTATTATTATTTTTTATTTAGGGCATTATTTGCTTTGCGTAAATTTCAGCTGATCGAAAGTCAAAACGCTCATTATCTGATTGCTTTATATTATTCTACCCATTCTTAGAGGAAGTCCAAGCGAAATTTGACACGCGTAATAGCAGCTTCCAGATTAGGATTGCGGACTCCTCTGGTTGCCGCAGTTAGATATAAACGCCTATATAGCTACGTGAGTTCTGTGAGCTGTTTCTGATTCAGCAGCATCTAAAAATATTAATCATGGGCTGACCGTTGATTTAGCTTTTAGCTAGCTAAATATAGGTTGGCGCCATAAAAAAACCTTTCTTACTTTTACATTGGAAGTTGTTGCAGTCCCTTGAAGACATAGATGGTCCCAGGCTACTGCAATTATTACCACCGTGCTGTGGTGGGGGATTGGTGCAAGTTCTGGTTTTTGTTTGTTTACCACGTCCACAAGTCTTTGAACATTGTGAGTACGGTCCCCAGTCAGAGTAACCTCCGTTGACTGCATGAAAAGAGAAGGTATTTATTGTTTTTAACAACTCTGTGATATGGTTATGAACAGAAAACGAAGCGTATTCGCTCTTCGAACTTCCACCCAAGATGTCCGCCCGACCCGTGTCGTTCCAGTTTTATTTTATAAGGTAGTTTCGATAGGATCGTTTTGTTTGGAAATTTTAGTCAGAATTAAAATGTACGTTACTGTAAATGTTGTTTTATTTATCTACCGAGTTAAACTTAAGGGTGTGGGGGTTGTGGAGGAGGAGGAGGAGAGTTAAAGTTAAGTTCTAGCTACTGAGTTTAAGGAAGCTGACTTTAAATAAATCTAAAATATATAGATAAAAAAATCGGGCCAATAGGGAGGAGAAGCTTGACGTCACGTAACCAGGGTAGGAAAACTTCTGGATCACAACAATTGTGTGTTTTCACATGACGTTATGACGGCCTTTTTTTTTGTGCCCAAAACAATGAAACGGCGGCCATGTTTGTGTCCCAAACCAGTCCTGTGGGAGTTGAACTCTTTTCTTATGTAAACGATTTCTTTTTTTCTGATAAATTTGCATAGATGCTGGCCACGTGAGTAAAAACAAAGAATAGGGAGCGTAAGGAACGCCGACCCCGACAGCAACGATAACAGCAAACAAGCAATTAGTTTATGATAGCAAAACAACAATTTTGCGAGTGTATCACGCCTTTTCATTGAAAATTTCTCAGCTGTCAATGCACTACAGCGACATAAAGTTACATGAAACTGCCTAATTTCACGCGCAGACTTTATGGAGTAGTTGAACACAACAGAAAGATTTTCTTTTCTTTTTCTACATGTAAACTTAGATGCAGTCCTTTTAGCATTGTGCAAAAGTAATGAGATCGAAGTGCGCCGAATTTCGTCCTTTAATTGTTCTCGCGAAACTTCGCAACGAAATTTCGCACGAATAACCGCAAACTTTCGTTGAATGACCACGAAGTTTGGCAGGAGCGAAAATTCGCGCTTGCGAAATTTCGCTGATACGGTTTATGATGCAAACAGACTGATTCTGATTCTGACTCAAGCCTGCGTTGCTTTGAATCGCTACACTGTGGGCTCGCTACGTTCGATCGCTTCGATTGCGGGGATGATTCATTACAGTGCTCTTTGCGCCAAATTTCATAAGATCACTACGATCTGCCTCGCATTTTATAGCTTAACAAACAGTTTTAACTGTTTAAAAGCTCTCTCTAAAACTTTACCATGGAAACACACAAATCCGGTTCGAAAAAGATCAGTACCACTATTTGCCCACAGCACGGACGACCAAGTTAATGTTCCGTAATAAAACTTATCTGGTCTTTTAGACTCAAGTTACTTGAAGGAAAGGCGCTATAGACCGCATTTAACTTCTTTCTATTTACTGCAATCATCAGAAACGTCTCAACAAAGAAACGCTCCCAGAACATTTACCGCTAAAAAGTCGAATGAAGGAAATTTTCATATGCTTACTTTTAGCCAAAACCATCGTTCGACCTGCAGTTAAGCAATTTCTCCACTTTCAGCGTAACTGAGCTAATAAATAGATTCCTGACAATTTATTTTTTCCTGCATTCCTTCTCTCTTAACGCTAAGTTAATTCTTAAAAGCAAAATTTTAAAGCTTACATGTAAGACTCGATCGTAGCCTTGATCTCACTTTGAAATGACACATATGTGACAAAAAGCAAAGCCTTGATTTTTATATAATCTCAGCAATAAAATTTCACAAGTTTGGGCTTCAATTCCCTTCCTTCGTGTCGGCGACTCGTTTTCCACGCTTCCGAAGTTTAAGTTAAAACATTGTTTCCTGATAAAATGAACAATGGATAATTTCCGTTGATATGACATTTCCATTAGTGATTGACGTTTGATTAGGTAAATAAGCTGCGTAAAATAACTCGCAGCAGTAGCAGTAGTGTCGTTCCGACGGCTCAAATTTTCTTCAGCAGATTTTCTGCTTACTGAGGTTCATGTTGTTACTGGTGCATGTACATGTAAGGTCTGGTTGCGGTAAGATTGATACGATCGGTAGGATCGTTGAAAAACGGATTGATTGGAAGCAACCGTTCAATTATCGTAGCGATCCGTTAACGACAACGATCGCTAAGATAGAATACAAGTTATAGTTAGTAGCTTAATCCGAGTTCCTGTTTCTTTTGCTCAACAGCGCTTTTTATGCTTGTTTTCACTTCCACGTGCCGCAAACCACCATGCAGGAACGCACGAAACGCACTGTTACCGACCAGTGGGCTCGATTACCATGCCGCTGTTCGGGAAAATGAGCCCGCACTCATCCCCCGAAAGAGCCGGGAGACGGCGGAAATCGAGCCTAACCGACCAGACAATTGAGACAAACATTTCTTGCGTTCCGTCATGGCGGTTTTGGACCACGCGACCGACGACTTGCAAAGGGCCCATTGAAAAAATCACATTTTCCTGGTGTTAGCAGGGAACGTGTGGTATGTTGAAACGGCAAACTGATCCTTACGGCAAGGCGATGAAGAAGTAAACAAAAGAATAAAACAAAAAAATATAAATTAAAACAAATTGCCCAATATTTCGGTTTGAAAACAACCTTCACGTGCTAAAATAAAAATGGAAATAAAGCTAAAAGTTCGTCACAAATAAGAATTCGAAAAAGTTGAAAAACAATGGATTGTTATTGGTATAGGAGACTAAGTGGTATCATATCAGTGAGCTTCGTCACGTCTATTTATTCCTAGAGGAAATAATATGTTCCTACTGCATATGAACCTAGGAAAACAACAAAACTCTTGGCAGATATGAGAAAACGTTCTTAAGGATCCACTCACGATCAACACAATGAAACTTTCTGCCATCAGGCATATAAAACATCGGCAAGAGAGAATATCTCTTGACATCACACAGTCATTTTTTTAGTCTGTTGGGAACTTTATGTTTGATTCAAAATTAAAATAGAGCTTCAGAGCGACAGCCACCAAAGATCGAGAATTGAGACTCGCCGAACTGAAATAATTACAAAAAAAGAATAGATTTTCACGAGAAGAAAAACTTTACTTAATTACTTATTTTCAACGGCAATATTTAACATGTTGTTTAACTCAAAATTCTCTTCATCCTAGTTAAATCGCACATTTAGATATTCTTCTAAAACATACTTGGGGATTGGCGGGTAAGATTAATCTGCGTGAGTGCAGACCGTGGAACCGCAGAACCTGGGGAGCCTGAGGAACCTACGGAACCTAAAGAAATGACTGTTTTATTACAAATGCCTTTGGCTAACGTGATAAAATAATTAGTTGCCATTAATTTTTTACAATGACTGAGCGATTTCTCACCCGCTGATTGGTCGAGAGCTATTGTCGATAACAGTACAGACCACTGAAAACTGTTCTCGATTTCGGTTTAGTATCACTGATCGGGAGCTCTGGTTCCAAATCAGAAAGTTCTCTAATCGCGGACTTCCGGCTTGTTAGTAGTCGTCGGAAGGAAATGAGAGGTATAGATTTAAACACAGTAGGATGAGAGAACGATGAGGGTATTATTGGCACCTACCGTCACCTCTAGTGACCGCTCTACATCCACCATACACACAGAATCTTTGCGACCTCTTCAAATTTATCCTTACTATAAACGTATTATTCCATCTCTTACCTGAATACCCTTCATCCCACTATTAAATTTATATCAAAGTGCCCATTCAAATGTTTCTCCTTTCTCTACGTCAAGGTGTCCCTCAATGATGGCATCGATCATTGAAATTGTTCTTTATTCTAAACCTACAACCGAACATCAGTACCTTTTACGCTCATCATGTCACCCCTTACACACTAAACGAGCTTTTCCATTCGGCCTTGCCCTGATAATACGACGTATACGAGACGTACAATCTCGGTCTCCTCAACCAGGAGATACCACAAGCCGGAAATTCGCTAAGTGGACTTCCCGTCGAGAACCAGAGCTCTCTTAATGTTATGGTGTTATACACTGTTCAAAGTTCTCTATTTTTCCGCAAGATCGTCGAGAACGAGCGCTACAGGCGGCCATCTTGACCGGATCTAGCTTGAACTATACTTAAAGGGCGGAGGACGGTTTGGGAACCTCGAGGCCCGCTCTCTCCGATACATTTGAAGCCAATTGCAAAATGGCTGCCAGTGAAGGTGAGCGCTCGATCTCGACGATTTTGCGGAAGAAAAGAAAGGGAACTGTGAAAAGTCTATCAATGTCACAATTGGTTATAACAAATTATCTTACCACGTTAACTAAAGGCAGTTGTAATAAAACAGTATTTTTATTCATAGGTTCCGCCGGTTCCACAGGTTCTGCGGTTCCGCGGTTCCGTGGTCTGTAGTTCCACAGATTAGTCTTACCCGGGATTGGCTTCGCTTGTTGAAGGTAGCCTTTATACGAAAGCATTTAAGGGTGCTTTCTATTCAGCCCAAAATTCCAGAACGTTCGGTCAGAAATCAAATGGAACGAACCATTTCAGTTCGGTATGAGCGAAAAATATTTCTGACCACCTTTGAAGGTGGTCCACTTTGACCAGTCTGGTCATTTCGGTCGGTCAGACTGAATGTCTCTTTCCATTTGACAAAACTGTTGTCCCAAGTGCCGCCCCTCCGCCCCAATGCATCGTGCTTGCAAGTACAATAACCAAACGCGCAGTGGCTTGGATCTGGTCCGTGCAAACGGAATGTGCCGTCCCACTGGGCACATGAAATTTCCTAGATTTCAAATCGGGATTTTTGTTGAATGGAAAGCTCCCTTAGTGAAGCGAGACCAAAAATAGCTTACATGTTTTTAACGGCTCCACGTTTCGAAGTTTTCACATTTCGAAATATAAGAAAGCGAAATATCTTCTCGTTCCTTCATCCTTACTGAGTTATCATTGTCAAAGTCCTCTTTTTCCATAAAAAGTGAGTACCAGAACTGTAGCACGATTGAGGTTTTCCTCCTAAAAACATTGCCATCGAAATTTAACCGATCTGCCAAGACTTTACTAAGTTGCGTTACAACCGTGACTCCGTGACTGCAGACATACGTCATGTCACAACAGTCACGGAACAGATCATTACGCAGGGTCGCCCGCGCAGTTAAGAGTTCAGTGTTTGAAAGTGGCTAAAATTGGCCCAGTTTGACTTTTTGCCCTACTCTTTGATTAGAGAAAGGAAATTTGCAATGGGAAAACCTACAAGAAGTAAGAAAACCTAGCACTTAGTGTTCTAATATCAACTTTTGTGCCTTTCGAAATTGGAATCTTTACACAATTACCGCCGACCTACCATGAACATCGATACCGTCGTTCAGAGACTTTCCTCCCAAAGCGAAGCCAACCCTCAGGTATGTTTTTAGCTTAATGTCTGAATGCATGATTTAACTAGGATGACGAAAATTTGGAGTTATACCACACGTTAAATATCGTCGCCGAAAATGAGGAATTGAAGAGATTTAGAGTCGTGTTTACGACAAACGGCAAACGTCAGATTTAAGTTGAAAATTCTCAAAATAGAAAAGGAGCAGATAAAAACTGCTCAAAACAATTTCTTATGGATATAACTGGCATGAAAGTTTAATTTTCGTGTAGAGGTAATGAACGTATTAAGCGACAAATAAGGGGAAAACTTGGTCACATGGTACAAATTCACTTTTGCCGTTTGCCGCCGTGAATTTACGTTCTTGTATCGTGAAAACCTATTCCTAATTTTTGAATTATTCCAGTTCGAGGAGTCTCGTTAATGCCCTTAAAGAATGTTCTAGTGAAGGGAAAAGAGTTATTCTGTTGATGGGAAGTGTCCAAATTTCTCCATGCGGCTTTGTTTGCGAACGCAGGGAAACTTGATGTTAAGGAATTTCACGTTAAAATTTAGTCCATTTTGAGATCGCGACCTCGAAAACCAATGTTCCTATTTTTCATTGAAAGGCTTTTGGCGGGAACAATTCACGTCACGTTTCTTATCTACCTTAAAGCTATCTTTCACAAAAAAGTGAAGAAATCGATTTTCCAACTCTTGCCACGAAAACAATCAATTTGCTCGATTTTTTCTTACCGTCGCTCTTAATTCAATCGATTCTGATTAAACAAAGTGAATTAAATATAGGAATTTGCTTTATGTCAATATATAATTTATTACGATATCAAGAAAATTTGACCTCAGAAGTACAGAAGTACAGTATTATCACACTCGTATATAAGAACCTACTTTTTCTGAAGTCTGGCAAAATAGGTTCTTGTATTTTGGGGTTCTTATTGGCAATTTAGCACTAGTAGGTTGTAAATTAGGATAGCTTCTTAATTTTCATGAAGGAGATAATAGATAGTTGATTAGTAGAAAAATAAATAAACTTGGGTTTGCTGTTTACAATTGTATTATATTATAACCCTAACAAAACTGATTACCAAATTTATATACAGTTTGGTACAGTATGTTCTCGTTATACTTAAATTTGCAATGAAAATTACACTCCTTGTTTTAATTGTTTATCATAATAACCCACATATAAGAACCTGCTCGATCTTGCTTGGCTAATAATAATAATAACAATAATAATAATAATAATGGAAACTTTATTTGTGTTTTTGAATGCACAATTGTAAATCTCGCTTCGTATAGGCAATTCACAAATGCTGCTTGAGATTGAATTATTCACAAAAAAAGAGAGGAAAATAAAATAAAATAAAATCAATATTGCAGTAAATCGGGGCTATCCCAGTTCCTGTTTCTACAACAAAAGATGTAATATGTTGCTCTAATGGCTATATTTATCATTTTCTTCATTATATAAAGTTGCTGTTTTTCGTCAATGCCAATGTCATTCATCATGTCTAAGAATGTGGAGCATTCGTCGGAGAAAACGCCAAGGGGGCTCGTGGAGAGATTTACAAACTTCACACGTGTGTAATTTCTACTCATTTCTTTGATCAAGTTCGGATATTTTTCATTTTTTACTAACTGCATTGTTATTAAGGTTAGACTCGAAACCAACTGTTAATTCTAGAACATATAGGCACGTGGACTGCATTAAGAAAAAGAAGATCTGGACGATAATTTCCACCAGTTATTATTGAGGGATTCAGAAAACCATTAACATCGGCATAGAGTGAAGAGTGAACATTAATTACGGGTTGAAGGGACTTGGCAATGAAGGGATGGAGTCGTGTCGCCTGGTAAAGCGATCAAGGTACTGTTGACCACCAGCGACAACATGAAGAAGTGATTGAGGATTAACGCAAAAGGGGCAATAATAATAATAATAGTAATAATAATAATGATAATAATAATAATAATAATAATAATAATAATAATAATATTTAAAGAGGGAGCCCAACTCGTCTTAAAGTGGCAAATTTCTGCCAGGAGGTCCTTATTATATGCGGGTGTTGACTGTAAGGCATTAATACGGTTTTGGTTTCACCGGACTTGATAAATTGAAGTCTTGTAAAAGAAAATAGGACTTACTCGGACATGGATTCCGGTTGCATTCTCTAGAAGAAGAGGAAGGTCCAAGACTGCTACAATCTTTCCCACCATTTTGTGGCGGGGGATTGGTGCAAGATCTAGTTTTTGTTTGCACACCACCTCCACAGGTCTTCGAACACTGTCCATAAGGCCCCCAATCAGAATAGCCGCCATTAACTGACAAAAAGTAAAAAGAGTACCTAAAATTAGAAAACATTTGTACAGAATGTTGTCCACCTAAATGTTTTCAACAGGTATCTCCATGAAACGTAGGCAAAAAATATAATTCATGAACAAAATATAAAATAGATTAGTTAAGAAAGCAGTAAAAAAGTATCCATGAAGGTTCTTAAACGAATGAATTCAAAACCGATAAAGAAAATCAGATATCCACAAAAACAGTGCAAAAGTACAGTATCCAGTGCATCATAAGAGCGTCGTATTATCAAGACCTGGTGTGAACAGTTTAACTGACTACTGCAGCCTAATAACTATAAGTTTTTTTTTCATAAATAGAAAATCTATAGCGAAACCATGCCGTACCACCACCTAGTTTTACTATCATTGAAGTTTGGCCCCAGCAAACGCACAGTCATTTCGTTTTTCTCACAATCTTGTCCATACAACCGCTCCGTTATCATTTTGGGTCACCAAGTTCATATTTTCTTTGCTCATTTTGCTTTGTTAATACGATCAGTTGTAATCCTAGTGAAGATAAGTAAAGTAATTTATCTAATAAACAACTACTCTTTTATTGAAAAAATCTCAATCTGCAAGAATTTAACCCAGCAGAGTAACAGTCAGAATCAAATTCTATTTCTGACAAAGGAAATTTTCTCTCTTGTCTGCGATCAAGTGGAAAGGGTTTGTATAATAACGTGTCTCAGCGCCGACCAAATAGTAAAGACACTTTCCTTGTGACCATTCTCGTAAAAGAAGAGAATTAGGAGACCTTTTTTAAACTCTGGAACGCTCTCGTAAGCGACTGCGATAACTTTTTTAAATCACCAGCTGGTCTTATCCTTTATTGTTTAGTTCTTGCAAGCAACCGCTCTGTCAATACTGCAATAAAACCTTTCAGATCCTTTAAGTTCGTAACCATATTCAGTATGATAAAACACGCACGCTCGCATTATTATAGTTCAAAGAGTTTGTTACGGAGCTAGCCAGTGAAAAACCCACGACGCAGTTTCTGTGAACGGACTATTGAGAGTGGATACAAATTTTTCATATACTGAGAAACTGTTCAATCTCAACGGCGTGCACTTTCGGTTTTGTGGTCACAGGTGCCAATTTTCGACGCGTATGGAGGAGGTTCTGCCAAAAAGTGGTAGGGTAACTTTGGTGACGAAAATGCAGCGTTACCTTTACACCCATACACCTCCACCCTCATGGATATGTGACGGTGCCAAGCCGTTGGTCTAAATCGGATGTAGCGCGCTCTGATTGCATGGCTGAGCTCGTGGTAGACCACAGTGTCCTGGTCTGCGTTTCCAACAAACTCCTGAAAGTAGAACGTGGACTTTGTTTGGAAAAGATCCTTGTACTATGTATAGGTAAGAGGTTGTGAGGCTTAGAAAGGAAGCAACAGCAGCGTTTTGGACTGGTGAAAAAGCATGGGAGATTAGAGGAGTATTGTTGTTAACTTGGCGTTGGTTTTGCGCTTGGTGTTTGGCTTTTGCCGTGGACATTACGTAGTGGATATTTCAAGGAACGATAATTAGGTTAGGAGAGTTTGTGTCCAGGTAGAAAACGATCTTACCTTGATTCCGACCTGTCCTTGCTCCGTGTAGTATTGAAAGTTGACACCGTCGTCACTGTACTGCACTTTGTACTTGGTTACCCACTGGGCGTATGCATTTCTGCCTTGCGTTGCTAGGCCGGTTACTTTGGTGTGCCTATTACCCAAATCAATCTGCAGCCACTGGCCGAGGTTATTGTGTTTAGCTGACCATGATCCTGCTTTGCCGGCAACTGCTTTAAAGTGGAGTCTTGCCTGGATGGCAGCATGATTGGCATCCCACTCCGTAGAAGCACGAACTTGGCCATTTGAGATGGCACCGCTTTCCATGCCCAGAGCATCCTGACATTCTGGACATTGAGAAATAAAAAAGACCGTTGGTCGAGTTCAAAAGGATCATTAAATTAAGCGACCTGCTAGCTGTGTTGTGGCGCGAAATTACAATTGGACAACAATCATCGCTGTGCCATTTCTTTGAGCAAGACTTATAAATGGCGGAAAGACGGTGTAGTTCGGAGAGATTGTTACGGAGCTAGCAAGTGGACCACTGAGGACGCAGTTTCTGCGCACGGGCTGTTGTAAGAGTGGGTACAAAACCTTTTCATGTACTTAGAAACTGTTGGATGTGAACGGCGGGCGGCGGGCGTTTTCGGTTTTGCGGCAACACGTGCCAATTTTTGACACGTATGGAGGAGGTTCTGCCAAAAAGTGGTAGGGTAACTTTGGTGACGAAAATACAGCGTTACCTTTACACCCATACACCTCCACCCTCATGGATATGTGACGGTGCCAAGCCGTTGGTCTAAATCGGATGTAGCGCGCTCTGATTACATGGCTGAGCTCGTGGTAGACCACAGTGTGCTGGTCTGCGTTTCCAACAAACTCCTGAAAGTAGAACGTGGACTTTGTTTGGAAAAGATCCTTGTACTATGTATAGGTAAGAGATTGTGAGGCTTAGAAAGGAAGCAACAGCAGCGTTTTGGACTGGTGAAAAAGCATGAGAGATTAGAGGAGTATTGTTGTTAACTTGGCGTTGGTTTTGCGCTTGGTGTTTGGCTTTTGCCGTGGACATTACGTAGTGGATATTTCAAGGAACGATAATTAGGTTAGGAGAGTTTGTGTCCAGGTAGAAAACGATCTTACCTTGATTCCGACCTGTCCTTGCTCCGTGTAGTATTGAAAGTTGACACCGTCGTCACTGTACTGCACTTTGTACTTGGTTACCCACTGGGCGTATGCATTTCTGCCTTGCGTTGCTAGGCCGGTTACTTTGGTGTGCCTATTACCCAAATCAATCTGCAGCCACTGGCCGAGGTTATTGTGTTTAGCTGACCATGATCCTGCTTTGCCGGCAACTGCTTTAAAGTGGAGTCTTGCCTGGATGGCAGCATGATTGGCATCCCACTCCGTAGAAGCACGAACTTGGCCATTTGAGATGGCACCGCTTTCCATGCCCAGAGCATCCTGACATTCTGGACATTGAGAAATAAAAAAGACCGTTGGTCGAGTTCAAAAGGATCATTAAATTAAGCGACCTGCTAGCTGTGTTGTGGCGCGAAATTGCAATTGGACAACAATCATCGCTGTGCCATTTCTTTGAGCAAGACTTATAAATGGCGGAAAGACGGTGTAGTTCGGAGAGATTGTTACGGAACTAGCGAGTGGACCACTGAGGACGCAGTTTCTGTGCACGGGCTGTTGTAAGAGTGGGTACAAAACTTTTCATGTACTTAGAAACTGTTGGATGTGAACGGCGGGCGGCGGGCGTTTTCGGTTTTGCGGCAACACGTGCCAATTTTTGACGCGTATGGAGGAGGTTCTGCCAAAAAGTGGTAGGGTAACTTTGGTGACGAAAATGCAGCGTTACCTTTACACCCATACACCTCCACCCTCATGGATATGTGACGGTGCCAAGCCGTTGGTCTAAATCGGATGTAGCGCGCTCTGATTACATGGCTGAGCTCGTGGTAGACCACAGTGTCCTGGTCTGCGTTTCCAACAAACTCCTGAAAGTAGAACGTGGACTTTGTTTGGAAAAGATCCTTGTACTATGTATAGGTAAGAGATTGTGAGGCTTAGAAAGGAAGCAACAGCAGCGTTTTGGACTGGTGAAAAAGCATGGGAGATTAGAGGAGTATTGTTGTTAACTTGGCGTTGGTTTTGCGCTTGGTGTTTGGCTTTTGCCGTGGACATTACGTAGTGGATATTTCAAGGAACGATAATTAGGTTAGGAGAGTTTGTGTCCAGGTAGAAAACGATCTTACCTTGATTCCGACCTGTCCTTGCTCCGTGTAGTATTGAAAGTTGACACCGTCGTCACTGTACTGCACTTTGTACTTGGTTACCCACTGGGCGTATGCATTTCTGCCTTGCGTTGCTAGGCCGGTTACTTTGGTGTGCCTATTACCCAAATCAATCTGCAGCCACTGGCCCAGGTTATTGTGTTTAGCTGACCATGATCCTGCTTTGCCGGCAACTGCTTTAAAGTGGAGTCTTGCCTGGATGGCAGCATGATTGGCATCCCACTCCGTAGAAGCACGAACTTGGCCATTTGAGATGGCACCGCTTTCCATGCCCAGAGCATCCTGACATTCTGGACATTGAGAAATAAAAAAGACCGTTGGTCGAGTTCAAAAGGATCATTAAATTAAGCGACCTGCTAGCTGTGTTGTGGCGCGAAATTGCAATTGGACAACAATCATCGCTGTGCCATTTCTTTGAGCAAGACTTATAAATGGCGGAAAGACGGTGTAGTTCGGAGAGATTGTTACGGAACTAGCGAGTGGACCACTGAGGACGCAGTTTCTGTGCACGGGCTGTTGTAAGAGTGGGTACAAAACTTTTCATGTACTTAGAAACTGTTGGATGTGAACGGCAGGCGGCGGGCGTTTTCGGTTTTGCGGCAACACGTGCCAATTTTTGACGCGTATGGAGGAGGTTCTGCCAAAAAGTGGTAGGGTAACTTTGGTGACGAAAATGCAGCGTTACCTTTACACCCATACACCTCCACCCTCATGGATATGTGACGGTGCCAAGCCGTTGGTCTAAATCGGATGTAGCGCGCTCTGATTGCATGGCTGAGCTCGTGGTAGACCACAGTGTCCTGGTCTGCGTTTCCAACAAACTCCTGAAAGTAGAACGTGGACTTTGTTTGGAAAAGATCCTTGTACTATGTATAGGTAAGAGGTTGTGAGGCTTAGAAAGGAAGCAACAGCAGCGTTTTGGACTGGTGAAAAGCATGGGAGATTAGAGGAGTATTGTTGTTAACTTGGCGTTGGTTTTGCGCTTGGTGTTTGGCTTTTTTGCCGTGGACATTACGTAGTGGATATTTCAAGGAACGATAATTAGGTTAGGAGAGTTTGTGTCCAGGTAGAAAACGATCTTACCTTGATTCCGACCTGTCCTTGCTCCGTGTAGTATTGAAAGTTGACACCGTCGTCACTGTACTGCACTTTGTACTTGGTTACCCACTGGGCGTATGCATTTCTGCCTTGCGTTGCTAGGCCGGTTACTTTGGTGTGCCTATTACCCAAATCAATCTGCAGCCACTGGCCGAGGTTATTGTGTTTAGCTGACCATGATCCTGCTTTGCCGGCAACTGCTTTAAAGTGGAGTCTTGCCTGGATGGCAGCATGATTGGCATCCCTCCGTAGAAGCACGAACTTGGCCATTTGAGATGGCACCGCTTTCCATGCCCAGAGCATCCTGACATTCTGGACATTGAGAAATAAAAAAGACCGTTGGTCGAGTTCAAAAGGATCATTAAATTAAGCGACCTGCTAGCTGTGTTGTGGCGCGAAATTGCAATTGGACAACAATCATCGCTGTGCCATTTCTTTGAGCAAGACTTATAAATGGCGGAAAGACGGTGTAGTTCGGAGAGATTGTTACGGAACTAGCGAGTGGACCACTGAGGACGCAGTTTCTGTGCACGGGCTGTTGTAAGAGTGGGTACAAAACTTTTCATGTACTTAGAAACTGTTGGATGTGAACGGCGGGCGGCGGGCGTTTTCGGTTTTGCGGCAACACGTGCCAATTTTTGACGCGTATGGAGGAGGTTCTGCCAAAAAGTGGTAGGGTAACTTTGGTGACGAAAATGCAGCGTTACCTTTACACCCATACACCTCCACCCTCATGGATATGTGACGGTGCCAAGCCGTTGGTCTAAATCGGATGTAGCGCGCTCTGATTGCATGGCTGAGCTCGTGGTAGACCACAGTGTCCTGGTCTGCGTTTCCAACAAACTCCTGAAAGTAGAACGTGGACTTTGTTTGGAAAAGATCCTTGTACTATGTATAGGTAAGAGGTTGTGAGGCTTAGAAAGGAAGCAACAGCAGCGTTTTGGACTGGTGAAAAAGCATGGGAGATTAGAGGAGTATTGTTGTTAACTTGGCGTTGGTTTTGCGCTTGGTGTTTGGCTTTTGCCGTGGACATTACGTTGTGGATATTTCAAGGAACGATAATTAGGTTAGGAGAGTTTGTGTCCAGGTAGAAAACGATCTTACCTTGATTCCGACCTGTCCTTGCTCCGTGTAGTATTGAAAGTTGACACCGTCGTCACTGTACTGCACTTTGTACTTGGTTACCCACTGGGCGTATGCATTTCTGCCTTGCGTTGCTAGGCCGGTTACTTTGGTGTGCCTATTACCCAAATCAATCTGCAGCCACTGGCCGAGGTTATTGTGTTTAGCTGACCATGATCCTGCTTTGCCGGCAACTGCTTTAAAGTGGAGTCTTGCCTGGATGGCAGCATGATTGGCATCCCACCCGTAGAAGCACGAACTTGGCCATTTGAGATGGCACCGCTTTCCATGCCCAGAGCATCCTGACATTCTGGACATTGAGAAATAAAAAAGACCGTTGGTCGAGTTCAAAAGGATCATTAAATTAAGCGACCTGCTAGCTGTGTTGTGGCGCGAAATTGCAATTGGACAACAATCATCGCTGTGCCATTTCTTTGAGCAAGACTTATAAATGGCGGAAAGACGGTGTAGTTCGGAGAGATTGTTACGGAACTAGCGAGTGGACCACTGAGGACGCAGTTTCTGTGCACGGGCTGTTGTAAGAGTGGGTACAAAACTTTTCATGTACTTAGAAACTGTTGGATGTGAACGGCGGGCGGCGGGCGTTTTCGGTTTTGCGGCAACACGTGCCAATTTTTGACGCGTATGGAGGAGGTTCTGCCAAAAAGTGGTAGGGTAACTTTGGTGACGAAAATGCAGCGTTACCTTTACACCCATACACCTCCACCCTCATGGATATGTGACGGTGCCAAGCCGTTGGTCTAAATCGGATGTAGCGCGCTCTGATTGCATGGCTGAGCTCGTGGTAGACCACAGTGTCCTGGTCTGCGTTTCCAACAAACTCCTGAAAGTAGAACGTGGACTTTGTTTGGAAAAGATCCTTGTACTATGTATAGGTAAGAGGTTGTGAGGCTTAGAAAGGAAGCAACAGCAGCGTTTTGGACTGGTGAAAAAGCATGGGAGATTAGAGGAGTATTGTTGTTAACTTGGCGTTGGTTTTGCGCTTGGTGTTTGGCTTTTTGCCGTGGACATTACGTAGTGGATATTTCAAGGAACGATAATTAGGTTAGGAGAGTTTGTGTCCAGGTAGAAAACGATCTTACCTTGATTCCGACCTGTCCTTGCTCCGTGTAGTATTGAAAGTTGACACCGTCGTCACTGTACTGCACTTTGTACTTGGTTACCCACTGGGCGTATGCATTTCTGCCTTGCGTTGCTAGGCCGGTTACTTTGGTGTGCCTATTACCCAAATCAATCTGCAGCCACTGGCCGAGGTTATTGTGTTTAGCTGACCATGATCCTGCTTTGCCGGCAACTGCTTTAAAGTGGAGTCTTGCCTGGATGGCAGCATGATTGGCATCCCACTCCGTAGAAGCACGAACTTGGCCATTTGAGATGGCACCGCTTTCCATGCCCAGAGCATCCTGACATTCTGGACATTGAGAAATAAAAAAGACCGTTGGTCGAGTTCAAAAGGATCATTAAATTAAGCGACCTGCTAGCCGTGTTGTGGCGCAAAATTGCAACTGGACAACAATCATCGCTGTGCCATTTGTTTGAGCAAGACTTATAAATGGCGGAAAGACGGTGTAGTTCGGAGAGATTGTTACGGAACTAGCGAGTGGACCACTGAGGACGCAGTTTCTGTGCACGGGCTGTTTTAAGAGTGGGTACAAAACTTTTCATGTACTTAGAAACTGTTGGATGTGAACGGCGGGCGGCGGGCGTTTTCGGTTTTGCGGCAACACGTGCCAATTTTTGACGCGTATGGAGGAGGTTCTGCCAAAAAGTGGTAGGGTAACTTTGGTGACGAAAATGCAGCGTTACCTTTACACCCATACACCTCCACCCTCATGGATATGTGACGGTGCCAAGCCGTTGGTCTAAATCGGATGTAGCGCGCTCTGATTGCATGGCTGAGCTCGTGGTAGACCACAGTGTCCTGGTCTGCGTTTCCAACAAACTCCTGAAAGTAGAACGTGGACTTTGTTTGGAAAAGATCCTTGTACTATGTATAGGTAAGAGGTTGTGAGGCTTAGAAAGGAAGCAACAGCAGCGTTTTGGACTGGTGAAAAAGCATGGGAGATTAGAGGAGTATTGTTGTTAACTTGGCGTTGGTTTTGCGCTTGGTGTTTGGCTTTTTGCCGTGGACATTACGTAGTGGATATTTCAAGGAACGATAATTAGGTTAGGAGAGTTTGTGTCCAGGTAGAAAACGATCTTACCTTGATTCCGACCTGTCCTTGCTCCGTGTAGTATTGAAAGTTGACACCGTCGTCACTGTACTGCACTTTGTACTTGGTTACCCACTGGGCGTATGCATTTCTGCCTTGCGTTGCTAGGCCGGTTACTTTGGTGTGCCTATTACCCAAATCAATCTGCAGCCACTGGCCGAGGTTATTGTGTTTAGCTGACCATGATCCTGCTTTGCCGGCAACTGCTTTAAAGTGGAGTCTTGCCTGGATGGCAGCATGATTGGCATCCCACTCCGTAGAAGCACGAACTTTACCATTTGAGATGGCACCACTTTCCATGCCAAGAGCATCCCGACATTCTGCACCTTGAGAAATAAAACAGACGGTTGGTCGAGTTCAAAAGGATCATTAAATTAAGCGACCTGCTAGCCGTGTTGTGGCGCAAAATTGCAACTGGACAACAATCATCGCTGCGCCATTTGTTTGAGCAAGACTTATAAATGGCGGAAAGACGGTGTAGTTCGGAGAGTTTGTTACGGAACTAGCGAGTGGACCACTGACGACGCAGTTTCTTTGCACGGGCTGTTGTAAGAGTGGGTACAAAAATTTTGGGGTACTTAGAAACTGTTTGATCTAAACGGCGGGGGGCGGGCGGTTTCGGTTTTGTGGCCAGAAGTGCCAATTTCTGACGCGTATGGAGGGGGTTCTGCCAAAAAGTCGTAGGCTAACTTTGGTGACGAAAATGCAGAGTTACCTTTACACCCATATACCTCCACCCTCATGGATATGTGACCGTGCCAAGCTGTTGGTCTAAAACGGATGTAGCGCGCTCGGATTGCATGGCTGAGATGGTGGTAGACCACAGTGTCCTGGTCTGCGTTTCCAACAAACTCCTGAAAGTAGAACGTGGACTCTTTTTGGAAAAGATCCTTCAACTATGTATAGGTAAGAGGTTGTGAGGCTTAGAAAGGAAGCAACAGCAGCGTTTTGGACTGGTGAAAAAGCATGGGAGATTAGAGGAGTATTGTTGTTAACTTGGCGTTGGTTTTGCGCTTGGTGTTTGGCTTTTGCCGTGGACATTACGTAGTGGATATTTCAAGGAACGATAATTAGGTTAGGAGAGTTTGTGTCCAGGTAGAAAACGATCTTACCTTGATTCCGACCTGTCCTTGCTCCGTGTAGTATTGAAAGTTGACACCGTCGTTACTGTACTGCACTTTGTACTTGGTTACCCACTGGGCGTATCGATTTCTGCCTTGCGTTGCTAGGCCGGTTACCTTGATGTGCTTATTACCCAAATCAATCTGCAGCCACTGGCCGAGGTTATTGTGTCTAGCTGACCATGATCCTGCTTTGCCGGAACCTGCTTTAAAGTGGAGTCTTGCCTGGATGGCAGCATGATTGGCATCCCACTCCGTAGAAGCACGAACTTTACCATTTGAGATGGCACCACTTTCCATGCCAAGAGCATCCCGACATTCTGCACCTTGAGAAATAAAAACAGACGGTTGGTCGAGTTCAAAAGGATCATTAAATTAAGCGACCTGCTAGCCGTGTTGTGGCGCAAAATTGCAACTGGACAACAATCATCGCTGAGCCATTTCTTTGAACAAGACTTACAAAAGGCGGAAAGCCGGTATAGTTCGGAGAGTTTGTTACGGAACTAGCGAGTGGACCACTGACGACGCAGTTTCTTTGCACGGGCTGTTGTAAGAGTGGGTACAAAAATTTTGGTGTACTTAGAAACTGTTTGATCTAAACGGCGGGGGGCGGGCGGTTTCGGTTTTGTGGCCAGAGGTGCCCATTTCTGACGCGTATGGAGGGGGTTCTGCCAAAAAGTCGTAGGCTAACTTTGGTGACGAAAATGCAGAGTTACCTTTACACCCATATACCTCCACCCTCATGGATATGTGACCGTGCCAAGCTGTTGGTCTAAAACGGATGTAGCGCGCTCGGATTGCATGGCTGAGATGGTGGTAGACCACAGTGTCCTGGTCTGCGTTTCCAACAAACTCCTGAAAGTAGAACGTGGACTCTTTTTGGAAAAGATCCTTCAACTATGTATAGGTAAGAGGTTGTGAGGCTTAGAAAGGAAGCAACAGCAGCATTTTGGACTGGTGCAAAAGCACGGGAGATTAGAGGAGTAACGTTGTTAACTTGGCGTTGGTTTGGCGCTTGGTGTTTGGCTTTTGCCGTCGACATTACGTAGTGGATAGGTCAAGGAACGATAATTAGGTTAGGAGAGTTTCTGTCCAGGGAGAAAACGATCTTACCTTGATTCCGAGCTTTCCCTTCTCCGTGTAGTATTGAAAGTTGACACCGTCGTTACTGTACTGCACTTTGTACTTGGTTACCCACTGGGCGTATCGATTTCTGCCTTGCGTTGCTAGGCCGGTTACCTTGATGTGCTTATTACCCAAATCAATCTGCAGCCACTGGCCGAGGTTATTGTGTCTAGCTGACCATGATCCTGCTTTGCCGGAACCTGCTTTAAAGTGGAGTCTTGCCTGGATGGCAGCATGATTGGCATCCCACTCCGTAGAAGCACGAACTTTACCATTTGAGATGGCACCGCTTTCCATGCCAAGAGCATCCCGACATTCTGCACCTTGAGAAATAAAACAGACGGTTGGTCGAGTTCAAAAGGATCATTAAATTAAGCGACCTGCTAGCCGTGTTGTGGCGCAAAATTGCAACTGGACAACAATCATCGCTGAGCCATTTCTTTGAACAAGACTTACAAAAGGCGGAAAGCCGGTATAGTTCGGAGAGTTTGTTACGGAACTAGCGAGTGGACCACTGACGACGCAGTTTCTTTGCACGGGCTGTTGTAAGAGTGGGTACAAAAATTTTGGTGTACTTAGAAACTGTTTGATCTAAACGGCGGGGGGCGGGCGGTTTCGGTTTTGTGGCCAGAGGTGCCCATTTCTGACGCGTATGGAGGGGGTTCTGCCAAAAAGTGGTAGGCTAACTTTGGTGACGAAAATACAGCGTTACCTTTACACCCATACACCTCCACCCTCATGGATATGTGAGCGTGCCAAGCTGTTGGTCTAAAACGGATGTAGCGCGCTCTGATTGCATGGCTGAGCTCGTGGTAGACCACAGTGTCCTGGTCTGCGTTTCCAACAAACTCCTGAAAGTAGAAGGTGGACTTTGTTTGGAAAAGATCCTTCAACTATGTATAGGTAAGAGGTTGTGAGGCTTAGAAAGGAAGCAACAGCAGCGTTTTGGACGGGTGCAAAAGCATGGGAGATTAGAGGAGTAACGTTGTTAACTTGGCGTTGGTTTTGCGCTTGGTGTTTGGCTTTTCTCGTGGACATTACGTATTGGATATGTCAAGGAACGATAATTAGGTTAGGAGAGTTTGTGTCCAGGTAGAAAACGATCTTACCTTGATTCCGACCTGTCCTTGCTCCGTGTAGTATTGAAAGTTGACACCGTCGTCACTGTACTGCACTTTGTACTTGGTTACCCACTGGCCGTATCCATTTCTGCCTTGCGTTGCTAGGCCGGTTACCTTGGTGTGCTTATTACCCAAATCAATCTGCAGCCACTGGCCGAGGTTATTGTGTTTAGCTGACCATGATCCTGCTTTGCCGGGAACTGCTTTAAAGTGGAGTCTTGCCTGGATGGCAGCATGATTGGCATCCCACTCCGTAGAAGCACGAAGTTGGCCATTTGAGATGGCACCGCTTTCCATGCCAAGAGCATCCCGACATTCTGCACCTTGAGAAATAAAACAGACGGTTGGTCGAGTTCAAAAGGATCATTAAATTAAGCGACCTGCTAGCCGTGTTGTGGCGCAAAATTGCAACTGGACAACAATCATCGCTGAGCCATTTCTTTGAACAAGACTTATAAAAGACGGAAAGCCAGTATAGTTCGGAAAGTTTGCTACAAAGCTAGCGAGTAAACAACTCACCACGCAGTTTCTGTGCACAGGCTGTTGTAAGAGTGGGTACAAATTTTTCATATACTGAAAAACTGTTGGATCTCAACGACGGGCGTATTGAGTTTTGTGGCCACAGGCGCCAATTTTTGACGCATATGGAGGAGGCTGTCCCAAAAAGTGGTAGGCTAACTTTGGTGACGAAAATACAGCGTTACCTTTACACCCATACACCTCCACCCTCATGGATATGTGAGCGTGCCAAGCTGTTGGTCTAAAACGGATGTAGCGCGCTCTGATTGCATGGCTGAGCTCGTGGTAGACCACAGTGTCCTGGTCTGCGTTTCCAACAAACTCCTGAAAGTAGAACGTGGACTTTGTTTGGAAAAGATCCTTCAGCTATGTATAGGTAAGAGGTTGTGAGGCTTAGAAAGGAAGCAACAGCAGCGTTTTGGACGGGTGCAAAAGCATGGGAGATTAGAGGAGTAACGTTGTTAACTTGGCGTTGGTTTTGCGCTTGGTGTTTGGCTTTTCTCGTGGACATTACGTATTGGATATGTCAAGGAACGATAATTAGGTTAGGAGAGTTTGTGTCCAGGTAGAAAACGATCTTACCTTGATTCCGACCTGTCCTTGCTCCGTGTAGTATTGAAAGTTGACACCGTCGTCACTGTACTGCACTTTGTACTTGGTTACCCACTGGCCGTATCCATTTCTGCCTTGTGTTGCTAGGCCCGTTACCTTGGTGTGCCTATTACCCAAATCAATCTGCAGCCACTGGCCGAGGTTATTGTGTTTAGCTGACCATGATCCTGCCTTGCCGGGAACTGCTTTAAAGTGGAGTCTTGCCTGGATGGCAGCATGATTGGCATCCCACTCCGTAGAAGCACGAAGTTGGCCATTTGAGATGGCACCGCTTTCCATGCCCAGAGCATCCTGACATTCTGGACATTGAGAAATAAAAGAGACCGTTGGTCGAGTTCAAAAGGATCATTAAATTAAGCGACCTGCTAGCTGTGTTGTGGCGCGAAATTGCAATTGGACAACAATCATCGCTGCGCCATTTGTTTGAGCAAGACTTATAAAAGGCGGAAAGACGGTATAGTTCGGAGAGTTTGTTACGGAGCTAGCGAGTGGACCATTGACGACGCAGTTTTTGTGCACGGGCTGTTTTAAGAGTGGGTACAAAAATTTTCATGTACTTGGAAACTGTTGGCTCTGAACGGCGGGGGGCGGGCGGTTTCGGTTTTGTGGCCAGAGGTGCCCATTTCTGACGCGTATGGAGGGGGTTCTGCCAAAAAGTCGTAGGCTAACTTTGGTGACGAAAATGCAGAGTTACCTTTACACCCATATACCTCCACCCTCATGGATATGTGACCGTGCCAAGCTGTTGGTCTAAAACGGATGTAGCGCGCTCGGATTGCATGGCTGAGATGGTGGTAGACCACAGTGTCCTGGTCTGCGTTTCCAACAAACTCCTGAAAGTAGAACGTGGACTCTTTTTGGAAAAGATCCTTCAACTATGTATAGGTAAGAGGTTGTGAGGCTTAGAAAGGAAGCAACAGCACCATTTTGGACGGGTGCAAAAGCACGGGAGATTAGAGGAGTAACGTTGTTAACTTGGCGTTGGTTTGGCGCTTGGTGTTTGGCTTTTGCCGTCGACATTACGTAGTGGATAGGTCAAGGAACGATAATTAGGTTAGGAGAGTTTCTGTCCAGGGAGAAAACGATCTTACCTTGATTCCGAGCTTTCCCTTCTCCGTGTAGTATTGAAAGTTGACACCGTCGTTACTGTACTGCACTTTGTACTTGGTTACCCACTGGGCGTATCGATTTCTGCCTTGCGTTGCTAGGCCGGTTACCTTGATGTGCTTATTACCCAAATCAATCTGCAGCCACTGGCCGAGGTTATTGTGTCTAGCTGACCATGATCCTGCTTTGCCGGAACCTGCTTTAAAGTGGAGTCTTGCCTGGATGGCAGCATGATTGGCATCCCACTCCGTAGAAGCACGAACTTTACCATTTGAGATGGCACCGCTTTCCATGCCAAGAGCATCCCGACATTCTGCACCTTGAGAAATAAAACAGACGGTTGGTCGAGTTCAAAAGGATCATTAAATTAAGTGACCTGCTAGCTGTGTTGTGGCGCGAAATTGCAATTGGACAACAATCATCGCTGCGCCATTTGTTTGAGCAAGACTTATAAAAGGCGGAAAGCCGGTATAGTTCGGAGAGTTTGTTACGGAGCTAGCGAGTGGACCATTGACGACGCAGTTTTTGTGCACGGGCTGTTTTAAGAGTGGGTACAAAAATTTTCATGTACTTGGAAACTGTTGGCTCTGAAGGGCGGGCGGCGGGCGTTTTCGGTTTTGTGGCCACAGATGCCAATTTTGACGCGTATGGAGGAGGTGTGCCAAAAAGTCGTAGGCTAACTTTGGTGACGAAAATGCAGAGTTACCTTTACACCCATATACCTCCACCCTCATGGATATGTGACCGTGCCAAGCTGTTGGTCTAAAACGGATGTAGCGCGCTCGGATTGCATGGCTGAGATGGTGGTAGACCACAGTGTCCTGGTCTGCGTTTCCAACAAACTCCTGAAAGTAGAACGTGGACTCTTTTTGGAAAAGATCCTTCAACTATGTATAGGTAAGAGGTTGTGAGGCTTAGAAAGGAAGCAACAGCAGCGTTTTGGACGGGTGCAAAAGCATGGGAGATTAGAGGAGTAGCGTTGTTAACTTGGCGTTGGTTTTGCGCTTGGTGTTTGGCTTTTCTCGTGGACATTACGTATTGGATATGTCAAGGAACGATAATTAGGTTAGGAGAGTTTGTGTCCAGGTAGAAAACGATCTTACCTTGATTCCGACCTGTCCTTGCTCCGTGTAGTATTGAAAGTTGACACCGTCGTCACTGTACTGCACTTTGTACTTGGTTACCCACTGGCCGTATCCATTTCTGCCTTGCGTTGTTAGGCCGGTTACCTTGGTGTGCTTATTACCCAAATCAATCTGCAGCCACTGGCCGAGGTTATTGTGTTTAGCTGACCATGATCCTGCTTTGCCGGGAACTGCTTTAAAGTGGAGTCTTGCCTGGATGGCAGCATGATTGGCATCCCACTCCGTGGAAGCACGAAGTTGGCCATTTGAGATGGCACCGCTTTCCATGCCCAGAGCATCCTGACATTCTGGACATTGAGAAATAAAAGAGACCGTTGGTCGAGTTCAAAAGGATCATTAAATTAAGCGACCTGCTAGCTGTGTTGTGGCGCGAAATTGCAATTGGACAACAATCATCGCTGCGCCATTTGTTTGAGCAAGACTTATAAAAGGCGGAAAGACGGTATAGTTCGGAGAGTTTGTTACGGAGCTAGCGAGTGGACCATTGACGACGCAGTTTTTGTGCACGGGCTGTTTTAAGAGTGGGTACAAAAATTTTCATGTACTTGGAAACTGTTGGCTCTGAAGGGCGGGCGGCGGGCGTTTTCGGTTTTGTGGCCACAGATGCCAATTTCTGACGCGTATGGAGGAGGCTGTGCCAAAAAGTGGTAGGCTAACTTTGGTGACGAAAATACAGCGTTACCTTTACACCCATACACCTCCACCCTCATGGATATGTGAGCGTGCCAAGCTGTTGGTCTAAAACGGATGTAGCGCGCTCTGATTGCATGGCTGAGCTCGTGGTAGACCACAGTGTCCTGGTCTGCGTTTCCAACAAACTCCTGAAAGTAGAACGTGGACTTTGTTTGGAAAAGATCCTTCAGCTATGTATAGGTAAGAGGTTGTGAGGCTTAGAAAGGAAGCAACTGCAGCGTTTTGGACGGGTGCAAAAGCATGGGAGATTAGAGGAGTAACGTTGTTAACTTGGCGTTGGTTTTGCGCTTGGTGTTTGGCTTTTCTCGTGGACATTACGTATTGGATATGTCAAGGAACGATAATTAGGTTAGGAGAGTTTGTGTCCAGGTAGAAAACGATCTTACCTTGATTCCGACCTGTCCTTGCTCCGTGTAGTATTGAAAGTTGACACCGTCGTCACTGTACTGCACTTTGTACTTGGTTACCCACTGGGCGTATGCATTTCTGCCTTGCGTTGCTAGGCCGGTTACTTTGGTGTGCCTATTACCCAAATCAATCTGCAGCCACTGGCCGAGGTTATTGTGTTTAGCTGACCATGATCCTGCTTTGCCGGCAACTGCTTTAAAGTGGAGTCTTGCCTGGATGGCAGCATGATTGGCATCCCACTCCGTAGAAGCACGAACTTGGCCATTTGAGATGGCACCGCTTTCCATGCCCAGGGCATCCTGACATTCTGGACATTGAGAAATAAAAAAGATTGTTGGTCGAGTTCAAAAGGATCATTAAATTAAGCGACCTGCTAGCTGTGTTGTGGCGCAAAATTGCAATTGGACAACAATCATCGCTGCGCCATTTGTTTGAGCAAGACTTATGAAAGGCGGAAAGACGGTATAGTTCGGAGAGTTTGTTACGGAGCTAGCGAGTGGACCATTGACGACGCAGTTTTTGTGCACGGGCTGTTTTAAGAGTGGGTACAAAAATTTTCATGTACTTGGAAACTGTTGGCTCTGAAGGGCGGGCGGCGGGCGTTTTCGGTTTTGTGGCCACAGATGCCAATTTCTGACGCGTATGGAGGAGGTTGTGCCAAAAAGTGGTAGGCTAACTTTGGTGACGAAAATGCAGAGTTACCTTTACACCCATATACCTCCACCCTCATGGATATGTGACCGTGCCAAGCTGTTGGTCTAAAACGGATGTAGCGCGCTCGGATTGCATGGCTGAGCTCGTGGTAGACCACAGTGTCCTGGTCTGCGTTTCCAACAAACTCCTGAAAGTAGAACGTGTACTTTGTTTGGAAAAGATCCTTCAACTATGTATGGGTAAGAGGTTGTGAGGCTTAGAAAGGAAGCAACAGCAGCGTTTTGGACGGGTGCAAAAGCATGGGAGATTAGAGGAGTAACGTTGTTAACTTGGCGTTGGTTTTGCGCTTGGTGTTTGGCTTTTCTCGTGGACATTACGTATTGGATATGTCAAGGAACGATAATTAGGTTAGGAGAGTTTGTGTCCAGGTAGAAAACGATCTTACCTTGATTCCGACCTGTCCTTGCTCCGTGTAGTATTGAAAGTTGACACCGTCGTCACTGTACTGCACTTTGTACTTGGTTACCCACTGGCCGTATCCATTTCTGCCTTGCGTTGCTAGGCCGGTTACCTTGGTGTGCTTATTACCCAAATCAATCTGCAGCCACTGGCCGAGGTTATTTTGTTTAGCTGACCATGATCCTGCTTTGCCGGGAACTGCTTTAAAGTGGAGTCTTGCCTGGATGGCAGCATGATTGGCATCCCACTCCGTAGAAGCACGAAGTTGGCCATTTGAGATGGCACCGCTTTCCATGCCCAGAGCATCCTGACATTCTGGACATTGAGAAATAAAAGAGACCGTTGGTCGAGTTCAAAAGGATCATTAAATTAAGCGACCTGCTAGCTGTGTTGTGGCGCGAAATTGCAATTGGACAACAATCATCGCTGCGCCATTTGTTTGAGCAAGACATATAAAAGGCGGAAAGACGGTATAGTTCGGAGAGTTTGTTACGGAGCTAGCGAGTGGACCATTGACGACGCAGTTTTTGTGCACGGGCTGTTTTAAGAGTGGGTACAAAAATTTTGATGTACTTGGAAACTGTTGGCTCTGAAGGGCGGGCGGCGGGCGTTTTCGGTTTTGTGGCCACAGATGCCAATTTCTGACGCGTTTGGAGGAGGTTGTGCCAAAAAGTGGTAGGCTAACTTTGGTGACGAAAATACAGCGTTACCTTTACACCCATACACCTCCAACCTCATGGATATGTGAGCGTGCCAAGCTGTTGGTCTAAAACGGATGTAGCGCGCTCTGATTGCATGGCTGAGCTCGTGGTAGACCACAGTGTCCTGGTCTGCGTTTCCAACAAACTCCTGAAAGTAGAACGTGTACTTTGTTTGGAAAAGATCCTTCAACTATGTATGGGTAAGAGGTTGTGAGGCTTAGAAAGGAAGCAACTGCAGCGTTTTGGACGGGTGCAAAAGCATGGGAGATTAGAGGAGTAACGTTGTTAACTTGGCGTTGGTTTTGCGCTTGGTGTTTGGCTTTTCCCGTGGACATTACGTAGTGGATATGTCAAGGAACGATAATTAGGTTAGGAGAGTTTGTGTCCAGGTAGAAAACGATCTTACCTTGATTCCGACCTGTCCTTGCTCCGTGTAGTATTGAAAGTTGACACCGTCGTCACTGTACTGCACTTTGTACTTGATTACCCACTGGGCGTATGCATTTCTGCCTTGCGTTGCTAGGCCGGTTACTTTGGTGTGCCTATTACCCAAATCAATCTGCAGCCACTGGCCGAGGTTATTGTGTTTAGCTGACCATGATCCTGCTTTGCCGGGAACTGTTTTATAGTGGAGTCTTGCCTGGATGGCAGCATGATTGGCATCCCACTCCGTAGAAGCACGAACTTGGCCATTTGAGATGGCACCGCTTTCCATGCCCAGAGCATCCTGACATTCTGGACATTAAAAGTTTTATTGTTTTTTTTTTCTGTTATATATAGCTTCGTTTGGGATGGTTGAGTGTATTAAATTATTGTAGTTTGTTGTGGACGACGTAGAAACGTCTTTGTTTGTTTTGTTGCTTTTTTTGGTTGTAATGGTTTTTAATTATGCTGAAAATAATGAGTTCTTGTGTGTCTTTTTGGAGAAGAAATATCTTTAGGTGATTTTTATTTACTGAAGGAATTCATTTGGAAAGAAACGTAAACCGGGCTAAAATGGTTTAAAGGGAAGTTGACGAAACACCTTGTCCCCGAAAACAAATGTAAAGAGAGAACTTATAAGTTGTTTTCGTTTTCTAAATATAAAAGCGTTACTCCTAGGTATTCTTTATGCTAAGGAAACTGGGGTAAGGTTTGGCCGGTTGGGCATTCGGCTGGTGTGCGTCTTTAGCTTTTGCTTAATACCTTTTGGATTTACAACAGAATTGTGAAGAGTGTAACTGATAACCTTGTCAACAGTTATTTCCATCCGCCAAACTGACGTTGACACATTAATGATTCGTACACAAAGTAAGGGTTAGGGTTAGGTTTGTTGCTATATACATATTCAAATCAAACCATTCATTGTCAGCAAATCCCCGGTGGTGTAGTAGTTAAAGTGATGCACTGCAGAGCCGATGGTCCGAGATCGAATCCTACTAGTGCCTTCCTGAATTTTTTTTCCTTAAAAATTGAAGAGACTTAGACTTTTATGAACAGAAATTTTAAGAGACAGATAAATTTCATTTAAGAAAAGTGAAATGTCTTTTGAGAGCTACTGAGAGGAAAAAGTCAGTTTGGCGGATGGAAACAAGTGACGACCTGATAACCTTTACATTACTTAGGTTTTTGGAGTGCTAAGTTACCGTACCTTTACATCCGAATACTTCAACTCTCATTGAAATGTGACCATACCAGGCTGTTGGTTGGAAACGAATGAAACGCGCCCTGATCGGTTTTGTAAGTTTATGGATAACCAGAGTGTCTTGATTTGTATTCCCTGCGAACTCCTAAATCAACAAGACAGACACGGTCTCTGTATTTTTATTATTAGGTAAGTCAGTGGACAGCAGTTTTAGTTTTTCGAGTATATTGGAACTACCTGGCTTTTCACTGCTGGGGACAGTTGGGCTAGGGAGAGTTGTTTTTGCGAAAAATGAAGCAGCTTTCCCTAAATAAAAATTCAAGAAAGGGATAAAATTTGGAGTTTCAGTCTTTAATGGTAGAAAGAACATACTTATTTCAATTAATTTTAAGAAAATCATGAAATTATAACATGCTCTTGGGAGAATTTGCGAACGTTATATTTGTAAAAATAGCAGAGAGATCTTTTTCATTGAGAGACAAATACCTTTTTGTTTTATTTAACTGAGTTTGAAAGAATTTTTTAAAATACTTTCCCCCTCAGGGTCGTTGTACAGGGTTAAATATATACCTATAGGTTTCTTGTCTAAGTACTATCCACCACTATTTACTTTCCTTTTAGGGAGAGATGTTGAGTATGAAGGGGCTATGTCACCCCACACGCATGCGCGAGCCAATGAAAACAAACTTGAAAAAGTCGGCCCGACTTTTTCAAGTTGTGTCGGAGATTTTGGAAGGCTGTTTTTATCTGTCTAAATCTCAGCCATCGTTCGATAGTTAGCGAAGTTTTGTATTAAGAATCGTTCTATGGTGATTACAGAATAATTTTTTGGCGTTATTTTGAAATTGTTTGCCTGTGGAATGTTTTTACGTGGATTTACTGTGTCCTCTTATCAGCGGCCGTTGTAATGGCAGAGTTAATGACGGCTACTCCACAATGAGTGATGGAATCTTTGATGGAATCTTCTCTATAGTTCACAGAACCTTTCTATTGAGTTATTTTAGAGGCTGCTGGCTCTTGGATTTTTCTTGTGCTCAAAGTATGTGGACATATAATGAAGCGGCTATCGAGTTGGCGGCGGCCGTTTTTTGTAAACGATTACAAGAGCATCAGGCCATGAGTTTCGTGACGAAACTAAACTCCTGGCGAAGGAAACATTATAAAATTCGGCTAGATTCCTTCTTGTATTTATCTGGATTCACGGCAAAGATAAACACGACCGTTTGCTCGTCCAGATTGTTCTCAACGGACTTTGAGAGGCAGTTTAGTACGAGTTAGATCCTGTAAATGCCATATTTTTGAACTGTTTGTGTTGGAGCATATTTTTGGAAAATAGCAGAGTTTACTTTCCCTTTTTATCAACGGACTGCTTATAGTGGAGTAGTATACCAATGATGCTTGGTTCTGTTTTTCTCTACGTCGCAGTGATTCGGCACGATCGAACAATTTTGCGCGATAATGTATGTTTCCCTAAGATCAAAACAAAGACTTGATGTCTCTTGTTCTATCAGCATCTAAATTATAAAATCACTAGCGACAGAGACGTCTAATTGTTAATGATTTAAAACAGTCTTGGTCTTTATCTTTGGTCTAGCGTCTTTTGTAGCTCGTTTGTAAAATACAACTTCGATTTATTTTGTTGAATAAGACAATATGTTGTCGTTGAATTTTTGTTTGCGCTCTATTTTATGAATGGCATGCGTTTTTACTTCAAAACTACAAGTAAAATTGTCGTCACAATTTTATTCTTGATCTAGCATAACCAGAGAAGAAACGTTGCGTAAATTCTATCGAAATATCCCTTATCTAAACCCATTTTCGCTTGTTAACCTCTCTAAATTCGGAGCCTTGGACGTGACAGAGAACATGGAGAAAGTCACGCGTTAAAAACAATAGAATTTTGACAGTTGAAAGTAATTTGCATAACCTCAGAGCGCATGCTCTCCAGCTGACATATAAAATGAAAATTTCGTTGAATATCAGTTTTGCATAAAATAGTCAGCGCCCTGTTCGTCGTAAAAGTTTGTCTCACCTTGATTGCCACATTTCCTTGTTCTTTGTAGTAATGAAAGTTGACACCATTGTCACTGAATAGTAACTTGTATTTTGTAACCCACTGATTGTATGCATTCCTGCCTTGCGTGGCTATGCGTGTTACTTTTGTATGCTGATTAGCCAAGTCAATTTGCAGCCATTGGTTCATGTCATTTGAGCGAGCTGACCATGATCCTGCTTTGCCTGGAATTGCTTTAAAGTGGAGTCTTCCCTGGATGGCAGCATGATTACCATCCCACTCTGAAGAGGCTTTTATTTGGGCATCTTGTATCGCACCGTTTTGCATACCGAGGGGTGTTTGACATTCTGCAAAAACATGCAAATCTTAACTTTCTGTTAAACATGTACAGTAAGCTCTCTCGTAAGCGACCACCCTTGGTGCACGGAAAAGTGGTCGCTTATGGGAGGACGTAACAAAGTACTTTTAAACTTAATTGATTAACGTAATTAGATACAGATAACAAGTACAATGCAGTTTAAAATTTGTCTCTTGTTAATCATAAATCGCCTAAATGGGGTGCACATACTTACTTGTACTCCAGTTCAGACTTAACAGTATTTACATTTCACAGTCACTCGGTCGCATTCGAAAGCTTCTCGACGAAATCTAGAATGCTCGATTGCTTTTGTGTTTTGAGCCTTAAGTCAAAAAGAATATCAGGCACTTTCGTCTGCACACCCCGATTATCGGCGAACTTATCTTTACTTGAAAGTACACTCTGTACTATTATTAAAGTGTATTTTTTGCTCTGGGTCAGCGATGTTAAAAACTGAGCATTTGTGACATTCGAGTAACTCTAGAAGGAGAGTGGTTGCTTACCAGAATTAGAAACAGAAAACAAAAGAATATGTCCAATTTTTGGCCTTAAAAGTAGTCGCGGTCGAGTAAGAATTAGGAGAAGTGGTCGCTTACAAGAGTTTTTGAAACATTATTTGTGAGAAACAAAACGGTTATTTTTAGGGTGGTCGCTTACGAGAAATGGTCAGTATGAGAGAGTTGACTGTAAACAGAATTGCGCAACTTTACAAATCCAAAAGACACCAAGCTAAAAATATAGTACATTACTTATCACTACATTGCAATGTTAGTACTGCCTTTCCTTTAGATCAAACTGCGTTCCTTCCTTCCTGATGAGTTGCGTTTTGATTCAAAGTCAGTTCTAGACCAGAATCATCCTCGGAGACCCAAGGGCGATCCGTCGGGTCTTGACATACTGCCCCTGCTTTTTGTCTCTTTGCGACTGACCACCCCTGGGTCTCCGAGGATGGACCGTGATAGCTCATGATATATTCCAAGGTCAACAAGAAAACTTGGCATTGTTTGGTCAAATTTTCCAATATTTTATTTTTCTATTTTGAAGCTTCACATCTTTATTATGGCGCGGGCCAGATTCCAATGCCAAAGAGTTGGCCTTCGAGTACATGGTAAAAAAGGGGCTTACTTGGACTTCCACCTTCCGCTATTGTAAAGCAGACCAACAGTAAAGGTGCCACCGTGAAAGGAATCATTTTCCCTGCGTAGAAAAGAAAAAGAAACTTTACTTACTAAATGTCATATATTCACCCTTGTTCAAAATCTGGACTGCGAATTCCTGAAAACACTGTAGAAATCCTACTGCAGTGTTTTTAATTTACCCTCCAGTATAGCTTGTCTAGTGTTTCGTTTTTAAACCCAATATATATTTATATTTTATTTACATAAGGAAGTTCAGAAAATTGTGATGCATATTTCATTAACCTTCCTTACATCCGAAATTTATCTCTTTTCTCCTTTCCCCCCAAAATGTCCAATATACTCCACTACATGTAGGTCCCAATCTTCAACAACTAGAGCCCACTAAAGTCATTGGAAGTCTAGTCGTAAAATACCTCGTTAGTTAGGTATGACCCAATACAAGCGCTCTTCAATACCTGTTTGATGAATTTTAGAAGCACAGCACAAATAGAAATGAGGCGGTCCGGTGAATTTTATTCGCGCTTCCAGTGAAATCTAGTCTTGTGTGCTGGATCCAAACTAGGTAGACAGGTTGATAACAAGCGTGCTACACGCAGGGTTTGTACAGAGTTTTAAATTCTTGAAAAAGTCTTGAAATTTGCCCTGAAATTTTCCAGACCTGGAAAAAGTCTAGAAAATGGAGGTAAAGTCTGGAAAAATGATGAAAAGTCTTGACTTTTTTTTCAAAGCTATAACAAGCGCTTTAAAAATGAAATTTTTTTATTTTGGTCAAATTTTATTCAATATAGCCAGTACGTTTGCAGCACATCATGAAAAAAGTTTTGTTCCTGCGTTTTCTAAGGTCTCTATTGATCACTCATTTGATAATCGTTGAGTCTGGAAAAAGAAACTATTATTTTGAAAAAATGTCTGAAAAAATTCCTGAATTCAATTTGGATTCAAAAATCGGTAGGAACCCTGTACAAGCTTGTACACGTTGAAATTGAGTTGGGTTCACTTGTTAATTTTAAACAAAAGCATCTATCTATCTTTCTTCTCAGCAAAAACCTTTTTGGAAACGGGTGATATATAAACCGTCCTGAATAGTTAAAAAACATACAAATAAACGCGGTCTGCTCTGCATGCATATTTTTTGTAGTTCCATAGTTTCCTCTTGTAGAAAGTTTTGGTTTGAAAAGGAGAAATCCAAGACAAATTTCCTGACTATCGTTGTCTTAAGGATTACTGTATAAATCTATGGATGTTATAAAAATAATGTTCTTTTATATTTCAAATTTTTGAACCTATATCTTTCTAAGTTTAGTTTTCTCATAATCATCTTGATTGATCCACGTCGATTAAGGGGATTTGTTAGGTTATATTTAACCCATCAATATTTTCACTACAGTTCTAACCAGTCGATTGTGATCGTCCCGGTCACCTGAAGTGTTTCGTGTGATCGTCTTGATGGCCTGAACATACTTTGAGAAGGATCGCGCAGTATTTGGTGCTGAATAAAGGGCAGTGAAGAGCACGGGCAATTTAATGCAACATCTTCCAGTAGGTTGGTAGTAGAAGAGAAAAAAAACGAATCAGAAGCCGAATCAAGGTTTTAAAGTTGTCAAGTTTCCAAATGACACTCATAGGCGAACGAAGTGTCGTTGTAGCAAGCGTGCGAAGAACTGAGGTACTATGTTTTGGTAAACGTTTTGAATGTTCTTTTGTGTACCACAGCGAAAAAAAGGAAGAAAAAGGGCCAAGACATGAAAAATATGTTCTCGTGATAGAAGAAGACGTCAGAAAGCAGTGTTTTAAACGATTATTTTCGAATTTTGAGTCAATAGTAATTTTCGTCGTGCTGCTATTTGTCGTGAATTGACTGAAAGAAATCATAACTAAAGAAATCAAAAAATTACGTGAAACATTGTTTCGTTATATCAGTAATACTTACCTGCGCAGTTTCCTCTGAAGGCGTTGCTTTGTCTGGCAAAGGCTTTTTCTGGCTTTCCATTTTTAATAATTTGTCAGAGTAAACATATAAAAGTTATTAAAAATTTGGATGGTAAACTAATTTTTGGCCACTTGTAAATAAATCATACCGTATGTGCTCAAGCCCTCCCAAGGCAGTTAATTGCTTTAAATAAATACCGTGGCATGTGGCATGTAGTATAGGGATGGTGGTAGGGGTGGGAAGAAATATGGAATATGCTCAATCCCTACCAAGAAATTTGTCCTTTTATCAACTTAATACCTTTTGCATCTCAAACAAACAGATGCTTCTAAAACCTTGGGAAATGAACAGTAACGTATCACTAAAGATACAGTCGATACATTATCAGCCATAAGCTTTTATTGAATCCAAATGAGCAACGTTTCTAAGCGTTCAAATGGGTTTAAGCGGGTGGATTCAAAAGGGGTGGGAAGGGGGAGGAGAGGAGGAGTTGCTTTTCAAATAGATGGTCTTTTTGTACGATAACTACAAGTCGTGAATGAGTGGAATAACATTTTCCTCATACAATGCATTAAGTGTTTCTCCATAGAAGTAGGTTCCTATTTGCGCATAATAAAGTCAGTTGTTTTGTGACCAATAAAAGTGTCTTCTGCGTACATGCACGGGTTGAATCTTTGCGAAGGAAAAAGAAGGTAAACTGTCATATTTGATAATTAAATTCGGAACAATAAACGTTAGGTAGTGTCATAACATTGGTGGCGCACCATTTTCGCAAACTTGCACAATTAGACGGTTCACTAAATGTTATTGACCATTGTGTAAGGTAGAAGTTGTTAAGCTCGATGAAGAAATGAATACTCAGGGATAATCACTACTTTAAGTGCTCAGAAAGGATGTGAAAAGTGCTGTGGACTTTGAGCAAAACTGACAGCAATCTTAAGTCGCTGTTTTGATTGCTTCATCTTTATGCTACACCTTTTAAGTTTTTTAGGTGATTACGAAAGGTATGAACTCAGGAGTCATTTCATCACTAGGTGGAGTATAATCGTAGGAGTAGTCCTGGAAACGACTGTTATAGACAGTGACTGACGTTTCGACAAGCTGTGCGGAGAGATCTTTAGAGTCACAGTGAATTGTATCACTCCAGTTGATGGTACTAAATAACCAGATTTTAATACCATCAACAATTGATACAATTCACTTTTCACTCTAAGATATTTACCCAACAGATTGTCGAAACGTCCGTCGCTGTCAACAACACTAGTCCTATTCCGGCAGGACTACGCTCACCTCTTTCGGATCATATTCCACTTCAGTACATTTGCGATTGCTTCCCATTTCATTCCAGCCTTTCTTACTTCAGTTTTTGTTTCACGATCACCCATCAGACTTTCTTTGAATATTATCGAGCTACACATATTTAGATATGTTCGTTTATTCTGATTATCAAACACAATGGGGGATGAAAAAAATTTTGTGGTAAAGCCATTACCATTCCGATTCTATCCACCTAGTTCATATTTATCCAGTTGGCAGCTATTATTATTTTGCCGCGTATTAAAAATAAAGCGTGACAACAAAAGGAATGAAATAATTAATAAATGTCATAACAGTGATTTCAATAAATATCCCTTGTTTATTCTCTGTAGTACCAGGATAATGCCTTTTTGAACATTCGATTATGAAAAGCAAATAAAGAGCTGATAGGCACGGGGGCAAGGATTTTAACCAAGTGCAGAGTCAGTCTTAGGCTAAATCGGATCACAGACAAAATTTTTAAAGGAATTATTTCATTCTGTTATAAAAAGGCACACAACTTAACTAGCACCATAAAGACTTTTACTTTTCATTGGGTGATGCAATCGCGTAGTCACGTTCCATAACTGAATTTATATAACTTATTATTATGAGTCGATAGCAATAACCATAATTATAATTAGCATCAACGTGGCTGTCAATATCTGGTGCATCTCGATCTTCGCTAATGGCTGATGGACTTCATAGCTAAAATTGTAGCTCTAAGTGGTCCATTGTGGCATAAATTCACAGTTTTGTTGTCTATTCCTGGTTGTTGGAATTCTGGAATCTTACCTTTCCTGTTTATGTACAAGTTAGGGTGAAGTCATACGTGGATGGCCTTTCTTACCATACGAAAGTGTCAAATGCTGCTGAAAAGTCTAATAGAAAGGGGATGAATGCTATCCTATCCTGCGCATGGAGGATGTCATTGTTTAAAGCAGTTTCAGTACTTTGATATTTTTTATATGCCGAGAGGTCTTGCGCAACTCCTTATCCTAGAAGATGCTGTCATATCCTTATCAAATACTTTTGTAAGTTAAAGTATGCTATCTTTTTCTTTTTTACTTCTTAGATTGGACCGTCAATTGTCGTGGCAAGTTCATGTTTGAGGCCAACCAAGGCACTTGCTATGACAAAAAAGAATTTTCTTTTGCGTGTCTTAGGAACAAATAAGTAGAAATAGATAAAGGGTGAGAACTATATGTTCTCCACACAAGATGATGTCTGAAAGCAGTCTTTTAAACTGTTAAAATATTCTTTCGTTATATTAGTAACACTAACCAGCTCAATTTCTTCTGAGGACGCTTTTGCTTCGTGTGGCAAAGGCTATTTCTGGCTTCCAGTTGGTATTATCTGTCTGGGTAAATATGGAAAAGTTATTAAATGTTCAGATGGTGAATTAATTTTTGGCTACTTGCAGATCAATCGTGTCGCACGAGCCCAAGCCCTCCCAAGTCAGTTCTTTTCTTCAAATAAATACCGTGGCATCTAAAAAAAACGCCGACGCCTCTGTACCCAGTAAAGAAAAACTCATCAAAGCAAAAGTCAAAAGTCAAACATTAAAAATGAAACATTGGATACACTACCAAAGTGACTATTTTTAATAGAAAAAATCTTAAGCTTTTCTTCATCTAAGTGAGCTTCCTTCTAAAGACACCGTTGCTTCGTGTGGCAAAGGCTACTTCTAGCTTTCTGTTGGTATTATTTGTCTGGGTAAACATGAAAACGTTATTAAAACTTCAGATAGTAAACTAATTTTTGGCTACTTGCAGAAAAATCGTGTCGCACAAGGCCAAGCCCTCCCAAGGTAGTTATTTTCTTGAAATAAAGATCGTGTTATCTAAAACAAACGTAAGCTCAAGTTTGTATTTTCGGAAAAGCGCCTTTAGTTTTCGGGTAGACAGGGTTTTGAAGTGGAGAGTTTATATCAAACTGAAAGTTTCCTGACTGCGTGCATTTCTTTGGTGCATGAGCCAGACAAGTTAATAGCCATCATGTACGAACTCACAAAAAGAACTCAGGAGATGCTGTTCGCCGATTGGGCACAATAATACAAAGCATTTTTGTGCCTAATCAGGAGCCAGTATTCGCTTGACCGGTAGGACATGAAAATTTCCTGTTTGCTTCTAACAGTACCTGGGCCGGGTTCAAAGCTGGGTTAAGATAACCCAGGCACCAGGCGAGGAGGGTAAATGCGAAATTTGAACTCAGATGTGAAAGCTTCATTTTGCCAACAAGTTGATGATCGGACGCTCTTAAAAATAACTGAGAAAATTATCCAAAGAAATGTTTTTTAACAAAAGAAAAAAAAGAAACCCGGGTTAAGCGCTGATCGCCCTTATAACAACTGCGCTCTGTAGAAGATCTATTACGCAAGTAAAACAAAAAGTTCTTTTTACACGCCCGAGGCACTCTAGCCAGTGTCTCCTCAAATAACAAGCATTTGAGACGAACCATAGGATATCACGCTGATCACCTTTTCAAAACGTTTCCATTATGATACACAGTTTAAATCGAGGTTTCGCTGTACGCAACCCTTACGTTGAAAATATGCCATAATCATAGTTATCTATCACAAGGACCATCCACCCTTTCCCCTCAACTGCTACCTGTACGCCTAGCAAGCATCGAACGCACTCTCCTAAGCTCCGATTACTCCTAGTAAGTATTTAAACATTGTGCCCTCGATGAAAGGTAAGATAGTAAATGAACCGGAACCCTTCGTGGGTCACATGTTCCTGTGTTACATAGCCCTACTATAACTGGTCGTCTCCTGACTAGTATGCCTAGACTTTCCTCACTCTTACTAGAAGGTCAGGGAACAAATTGGATGGTTGGTTCGGAATACTGTAAGGTCTTAGAGTAATCCGGGCCGTCAAACAGCGCTTAAAGCCTTGCAGAAATATGTGTTTTCGTTTGTGTCTGTGGAAAATCCGCTGATTTAGTGTCAATTGGACCAAGGCTCGAGAATAAAACTTGAGTAACTCGATCTCGTTGCTGTCAACTCCAGAGGTAAATCTTATTGCGAAGTCATTTGAATGTTAAAAAATGTAAAACTCAGAAAGTTTACCAAACGTTTAGGAAACCAAAAATATAGTCAGAATTCTAATAACAGTTGACATTCGCATGCGCCTCTTTGTTTGTTTTTGTGTTGTAAGGCCGGTCCCCGTTTAGAAAAGTTCAGTTGTCCTCTTAATTCTCTAGCCAAGAGCTGGCAGTAGCGCTCGCGAATGCTACGATTGTTTATATGTAGAAAATTTGTCCCTGTTAGGAGGAGGACCCTAAAATCGAAATCCGGCCGAGCCAACTCTTTTTTCTCATATAAACAAGTTTTGTAAGGAAATGTTGAACGAGTAGTCTCGCCGAGGGTAGCTCGGGTAGGCGAATGTAAAAATGCTGTATATATATTTTGAAGTCATAAAGTTATGACTCCGCAAAAATATCCTATCCAGACTTAATGCAAACTGGTCACTGTTTTAAATTACAAACTTCCGCTTTGCCTCAACAGAATCAAAAAGTTGTTGTGAGTATTTCAAAATTCTGTCAAAGAGGTATTTACCTTATTTCCCAACAAAGAATTATAAAATCGAGAGCGTCTTTCGCCGTGTATGTTGTACCTTTGAAATTTAACCAAAGCTGCACCTAAAACAAAGACTAGAAGAGTTTCATAATCCGCATATTTTCAAGATAATTTTTCGTTAAAATTTAAACAATCGCACTCGCAGACGTGCTTAAATGCTGGCAACGCAAATCGTCAATGATCTAAAATAATAATAAAAGAATAGATAAAAAAGGCAAGATGTGCAGGTAGTAACCAAAACCTAAAAAAAATAGAGAAAAAAAGCGAAGAAAAGGTTTTGCAGCTTGAGCGTACGTGAAAA